AAATATCAATATTGCCTTATAAAAGTTTTGTGGTCTCCATACTATCTTCCCAACTTTCTGTAAATTTAAAATATCCTCAGACAAAAAAATGTACTTTTAAAATGTAAAGGAAGAAAAGCAGCAACGTACAGCAACAGCCATCTAAGACTCTGTACACTTTACAGATAGGCCTGAGAAGCTAACTTACTATTATAATATTGTCTCTAAAAATGTATTTTCCTAAATTTCAAACAACCCCCTTATAAACCAATTCTTGGAATTCAATATAGTTGTAAATCAGGGTGGTATATATTTCAGAGCAAGGCAGGGCACAGTGTATTTGACCCATTTGACCCATTTTGGTCTAAAGTCATACCACCCTAAACACACCCAATCTCATCTCTCAAGTGCCATTTTGTCACCAAGGTTCTTTTAAGTTCAGGCATTCAAGATACAACAACACAGTGTTGTGGGTTGGGAAATACTTTCTGTCTCAAACTCCAGTAAGACAATTTAACTCATTGACCAATTGTTCCCTATAGGAAAGTTAAACCATTTTTCCTTTTTTTAATGTTCATTTTTATGTCATTGCAGTCATTTAATTTGGGAGTGTTTTCCACTTAAATATTTTAATGACAACTTTACTCGTCAATCCATATTTTGTCCATTTTAAATGTTCCCAATTTTACTTTCCTCCATTGTGAGTCCACTTACAAAGCCATTATCTCTAACAAGCCAGTTTTTGCTAAGATTTTATTATTCTACACTTTTAAATTAAAAGTTAATTTAGTTACTGACCATTTTATATTGTTAAAGTAAAAAGTTTTATTTTTGATGACTTATGGTCAATTATTTCTATATAATCATGTGATCTTGATAAAAGGTGCTAATGGTTTATATTTATTTCTCAGGTAATTACAAGAAAACTGTGAGCAGTTTTATGAGACATACAGAAATAGAGACAGAGAATGCCAGCCAGTGACGGAGAATCAGGAGCCTGAAGTTTTTCTTAGCGTCTGACTACTTACTGACCGGGTCAAACATCCCTGTGCTAAAGGGCAGATGAAACATCTGCTGGAAAGAAGGAAGGAGGAAGGGGGAAAACAGCCTCAGGATCACCTGGAATGGTCCAAATGCTCAGATCCCAATGTCCTGCTCAGCCACAGCGCTCAGCACACAGCTTAGGTTAGGAAGGAGGCAAAATGAGGATGGACAGTGTAGTGAGGCGAGAATGAATAGGAAATAGTAATTAAGAGTATGGGTTCTCACACAGTCTGTCAAGGTTCAAATCCAGCCCAACACTTAACTCTCTGTGTAACCTGGGAAAGTTATTTCTCTCTGCCTCAATTTTGCCATCTGTTAAATGAGAAAATGACTGAGGTCACAGGGATGCAGCTTAATTGAAAATGCATGTGAACTGCTGTGCACAGAGCTTGGCATACCCTAGGTTGTTGGGCAACTTTTATGAGTATATGGTGCAAAAAAGTATTGTGAGTCTGCACTATCCACTGTGCCTGGACTACCCTCTAGCGGGTGTGTACTGCTTTCACTTGACACAGTGCCAATGGTAGAAGTTACTATCCTAAAGCTGACTTTCTAAGCTCCACTGTCTATGCACACAGTACATTTCCCATTCCCATATTCTTACAGCTGCCTCAAGCTGACCTTTGTATAGCATAAAACCACCATCTGCACAAAAGTGCAAGTACATAGTCAAAATTGTGAGAAATACATGTTTCATTAACAAAGAATGTGATGATAAAGCGAGAGCACACAAGGGAGGTATGAGGATAGGTAAGACACCTAAAAAACTAGATGGCATTGGTTGCCCTCAACGCAGAGAAACTAAAGCAGATACCTTAAAGCAACTGAGGCCAATAGGAGAAGGGGACCAGGAACTAGAGAAAAGGTTAGTTCAAGAAGAATTAACCTAGAAGGTAACACACACGCACAGGAAATTAATGTGAGTCAACTCCCTGTATAGCTATCCTTATCTCAACTAGCAAAAACCCTTGTTCCTTCCTATTATTGCTTATACTCTCTCTTCAACAAAATTAGAGATAAGGGCAAAATAGTTTCTGCTGGGTATTGAGGGCGTGGTGGGGAGAGAAAGGGGCGGAGTGGGTAGGTAAGGAGGGGTGAGGGCAGGGGGGAGAAATGCCCAAGCCTTGTATACACATATGAATAATAAAATAAAATAAAACCCTCCCTGTATAGCTATCCTTATCTCAACTAGCAAAAATGCTTGTTCCTTCCTATTATTGCTTATACTCTCTCTTCAACAAAATTAGACATAAGGGCAAAATAGTTTCTGCCGGGTAGCGAGGGGTAAGGGGGGGCAGGGGGGAGAAATTACCCAAACATTGTATGCACATATGAATAAAATAAAAATTAAAAAAAATTATATTTACAAAAAAAAAAAACAGAGAATGTGACATCATAGAAAAGCACATATTTTAAAGTTAGACGTGGGATCAAATTCCATTTGTCTTATCCAAGTTCCCAAACCTCAACCCATACCTGTTTTCCTTGTTAAAGAGGAAATAAGATGTGTATGTCACCAAATAGTGAATGAGGATTGAGCAAACAACAGTGAAAGGACACTGAGCACAAGGAACACCCCAGTAAACTTCCCACACATGCATTCACACGCAACACTTTCTCACTCTAAGTGCCGCTGCCTATGTCCAGGGGACCAAATATTTTCTCAGGTCATCTTTACCATTTTGGGTTTTTTTGGCAGTACTAACATTGGAATTCAGGGTCTTGCACTGCCGGACAGGCATTCTACAACTTGAGCCACACCTCCAGCCCATCATTTTCATATTATATGTAATGTACATCAATGACTTATTGTGACTGTTTGACACCAGACCCTTGGTCAAAGACTCTCAATGATAGTTTAGAGAGAATCAATCTCTGAGGCAGGTACTTAGCAGGATAAAGGATTGGCATTCCCTGCCTCCATCTTACATCTGCCTGCTTTACTCTGAGTCTCTCTCTCCTGCAATCACCTTGGGTTCTAAAAAAGGATAGGGCTGATAAATAACATCTTTATGACAAAGGACTGAAACTACCCCTAAGGAAAGAAATAGCAGAACCTCACAGACCACCCTCAAATGAAGACCTATAATGATGAGGCTGCACCATGGAGCAGAAGTAATCATCCCATGGGAACCAGATTGCTCCCCTCAGGTGATGACAGAGATAACAACTTCCTCAGAACCCCTCCTGAAACCAGAACTGAGATAATGATCAACCAGGCCACAGTTGATCTCCCCCACCCCAATTCTCCTCCATTTAAACTCAAAGCTCCTGTCAGAACCCCACAGATAGGCCAAAAGTTTACTTTGCCCCTCCCTGCAGCATGCCTATGCCATATAAGCAATCTCCTTTTTCTGCCCTTCACTACTACTGGTCATTATTTGCACACTGGGACAAGTGGCCAGATCTGACATGATGGAGGCCCAGAATTGGTCCTCTAGCCTAGAACTCTGGTTACATTTCCAGATCTTATAATTCTGTGTTCTTCCCTCATATTGACCTGAGATGACCTAAGATGCAGTGGTTCTCCTTTCCTACCTCCCTTTGAAAGAAAGGCTCTTCACAGAAAGACACACTTTCATACATTTTTTAATATTACTCTGGTGCATTGCCCCAAAGCATGAAACCTCTAGAGCACCAAAATAAAAGAGTAATTCAGCTCTCCCTTTTGTCAATCTTTTTCAATAAGAAATAAATTTCTAGCTGGGTGTGGTGGGCCAGGCCTGTAATCCCAGCACCAGAAAGCTGAGGCAGGAGAAATGTAAATGCCAGGTCAGTCTGAGCTACATAGTGAGACTGTCGCAAAAGATAAGAACCAGGCATAGTGGCTCATGTCTGTAATCCTAGCTACTCAGGAGGCAGAGATCAGGAGGATCACAGTTCAAAGCCAGCCCAGGCAAATAATTTGAGAGACTCTATCTTGAAAAAAGCCATCATAAAAAAGGGCTGGTGGAGTGGCTCAAGGTGTAGACCCTGAGTTCAAGCCCCAGACCCCCCCCCAAAAAAAAGATAAAATGAAAAAGAAGTTTCTAACACAACCTTACCTTTTAAATTTAGTAATGATTACAATACTGTTTAACATATTTATATTATTTTCAAACAACTGTGTTAATAGTAACTGCAACAGTAACACAGTCCAGAAGAAAAAAATTTAGAGGCGTATGATCAAAGAAAGCTAAGAGAAAGCACTCATTTAAATGTACATATGCGTGCGTGCATACACATACACACATGCACACGTATATGTTGCAGAAAAGTATAACAGGGTGAGCAAAAAGAAGCTCCCAAGCATGGCAGTGGGGCAAAATTCTGTGGGGGAAGTGAAATGCAAATGAAATTCAAAGAGGAGAAGGAATGATGTCAAACTTCCCAGTGTTAAAGAGCTTTATTTTGAATGAGTGACAATGGGTATTAAATCATTACAGTGTTTATATTTCGTAGGATAAAATTTAAAGGCTGACTCAACGTTTTAAGTTACAAATACCAATTATTGCCAATAAGCTAGACATTACATTCTTTGCAACTATTTAAATAACTGATCAAACAAAACTAGATAATGATTCTTTTAAACGCTGGGGAGGGGAGGTGTCAGGGAGACCTGTAACCTCTGACAATATGAACTCTCAAATATTAAGGCGCCCTTCCTAAAACTCAAGTCAAGGCCAAGTAGTTTTCGAGGCAAAGGCTTCCTTGTCTTCTTTACCTGCCCATTTCGACCTTCCCTTCCCCTTCCCGCCGCCCCTCCCAGTCTTCCCCAGCAGTCCGTCCCTCCGCCCTCCCTCCTCGTCCCGCCCCGCCCCTCCTACCCCCTCCCCGGCGCATGCGCACTCCGCTCCTTCCCACCCGCGGCTGCTGTGTCATGGCTGAGCGGAAGTCCAGCCTTAATGGGAGAGCGCATCCTCAAAATGGAGGTGCTCTGTGCAGTCTTGTCCTTTTCCTCCCACAACACCTTCCTGGTCTCCCGCTGTGGTCCCTACCCTGCACTCTCCCGAACACTTCGTAGTCCACGGACTTGAGCGGCTTGGCAGCAGACATGGCGGCGGCGAGCCCTCTGCGAAGAGCCGGAGCGGACTTCGGGACGCGGCGACTGCGGCAGCCGTCAGAGGGAGGAGGCGCATGGCGCCGCCGAGTGCACCCCGCGCCTGTCACCGGCCGGGACGCGGGCGCGCCGGGTCACGCGTCAGAGGGCCGCGAATGGCCGGCAGGGCCGGGAGCAGGGGACGCCCGGGACACCTGGCGCGCGGGGGACGAGCCGGCGCCCAGGCTTCCCGGGAAGCGCGCGCCCGCCTCCGCCCCGAGACCACGCACCCAGGGTGTCGGTCCACACTGCTGTAAATGAGAGCCGCGCCCCAAATCGGCCCCCACCCCAGCTTTAGTGGAGTGCAGCTGACACCAGAAGGAGTCGTGCCTCTGCGATGTGGTTTTCATACAGTCAGGCAAGCTGGCTGGCATTGATCTTACCGCATTTTTCTATGGAGAGCGCAGACAAGACCCCTGGCAATGTTCAAGTGTGGTCACCATGCTGTGGGGCGGATGCCCACTGCTTATGCCTGCTAACAGACTTCCGCCCTTGGACCACAGCGTCCCACTTCCAGCCCTTTGGTGTTAGAGAAGGGCCTGCAGCCTGGTGGCTGAGGACATTGGGTTAGGGAACTCATTAGGAAATGTTCCAGGCAGCGGCCAGGATGAGATCTCCCAGCAAGAGCCTTTTCTGCTCTTGTGCTGACTCAGCAGGCTTGGGCCTAGATCCCTTTTCTAAACAGGATGGAGGTATTTTCAGGGACAAGAAAAATTTTAAAATCTGAACCCTCTTATGCTAATGGAAACAAAAAAAGAAAACAGATTGTAGTGATGTTGTCTATCATCTGTAATTTTTTTTTTTCTGTTCGTTTGTTGCTTGGCACATCTCAGTTTACTACAACAATTAAGGCAATTTATACTTAGATTTTATTTCCTGGTGAGCTTTTGTAAAGTTTTAATTTATTAACCTGTCATTTTTTTTTTTAAACTTTTTGATGTACTTAAGTTTGAACCCAGGTCCTTGCCACTGAGCCACGTCCCCCCCAGCTCTGAATACAGCTTTTGATAATCTGCTACCTTCTAGAATTCCAAGTCTTTTTATGGGTGAGAATCCATTTCTCAGTGTATCTGTTAGCCTCCATACCTTTGCATACGTCTCTGCATCTGACCACATAGTTAAAATAATTCACTGCAACCTGATTTGGTATCATATGCCAGTTCTATCAGGGAATTCCAAAAATTATCTAAAACTTGGATAAAATATGGTTAAGTTTTTGTTTGTTTGTTTTTTTGGTGGTAGTACTGGAGTTTAAACTCAGGGTCTTAACCCTTACTAAACAGGTGCTCTACTATTAAAACCACATCCCCAGCCCTTTTTGCTCCGGTTATTTTTGAGATAGCATCTTGCTTTTTTTTGTCCAGGCCTACCTGGACGTCCATCCTTCTACTTATTCTTCCAATGTAGCTGGGATGATAGGCGCAGGTCACCACACCCAGGTTTTTCTATTGAAACAGCGTCTCATTAACTTTAGCCAGGGCTAGCCTGGAACTGCAATCCTCCTGATCTGTGCCTAATGAATCTGTGCCATAAGTTGCCATACCAGCTGACTCATTTTTAAAAGTGAAATACATTCTGGGGCTGTTAGTCTGGATAATTTTACATAATGAAGGTCTTGACTTACTGCGAAGACCTCACAACTTCTCTCTTCCTCTTATTTCCCTTTCAGCGCATTTCATGAAGGCTATGAAATTAGCATATTTTTTTGTTTTGTTTTGTTTGTTTTGTTTTTGAGGCAGGGTCTTACAGTGTAGCCTAGGCTGGCCTCAAACTCAAGATCCTCTTGCTTCAGCCCCTGGTGTGCTGGAATTACAGACATTGTGCCACCACATCCAGCTCAACATAGATTTTAAGTCATTCTTCTCAAATATTTCAGTCTCTCCACTGAGTTTAGAATCAGTCCTAAGGTCTTCAACCTTCATTAACCTTTTTCTTTTTTTGGAGGGGGGGTGGTGGTTAGGATTGGGCTCTGAACTCAGGGCTTCACACTTGCAAAGCAGGTACTCTGCAGCTTGAGCCACACCTCCAGTCCATTTTGTTCTGGTTGTTTTGGAGATGGGGTCTCCAGAGCTCTTTGTCTGGGCTGGCCTCAAACCTCTCTCCTCTGGATTTCAGCTTCTCAAGAAGCTGGGATTGTAAGCATGAGCCACTCACTAGTGCCCAGATAACCTCCACTAACCTTTTAACCTGTGTTTCCGAATCCTGTAGGCGACCTATAGTCAAGACACTTAATTTTCTGCAATCTGCACAGAAAAGTTTTCAAAAATGCTTTGCTCTTGAGTTTACTTTATTCTGCAATACCTCCGCTCCATGCAAGCACTTACTGGATCTCACCCTGGTTATTTAGTGTGTCTTCTCCATGAGTTCTTTGTCTTCCAAGTCACTGATTGGGAGGTTGACATTTCCCTGTTCTTGATCAATCCTTGACTTTTATCCACATTTACCCAAGAGTACCCCTGCCAATAATTATGTAGCTTTATTTTAATTTTGGAAGTGCAAAAACTGACATTTGCTTAGCTAAAAAGTTTTCTTTGCCAACAGCCAAACATTAGCAAACAGAAATTTTTATGTACCATTTCAGCATAGATTGCCAATAACATGTAATTCTAAGACTTTAGAAACTAAGAAAATATTTAGTATTTAACCTTTACTATTAGAAACATTTACATAAAAAATTGAAAATAGAAGGAAAAAAAATGCATAATCCTAACAACTATTACCATTTTTGTGTATTCTCTTTCTATTTATTTCCATGTATAGAGAGGCTCTATTTTTATGTACATATGTATATTCATGTATATGTAAAAGTATAAATATATATAGCATGCATTCAACTATAACATGAATATAAAGGATAAGCAGTTACAGTATGACTTCAACCTTTATTCTTTGTTTTCTGTGTTGTAGTCCTTCCAGTGAGTATTTTAATTTCATAGTATTACAAGGGTATATCCATAAATTTACCTACTGAGTCCCTTTATTATACATTCAAGCTGCTTCTCACTTTTCACTACCATAAAAAATACTACAAAGGAAATATTCAGGCATGTAGCTTCCTTCCCTTTATTTTTTTTAAAGTTTATTTTATTTTATTTTAGTTCATTTATTCACATGTGCATACATTGTTTGGGTCATTTCTGCACCCTGCCCCGCCCCCCCCCTTCCCCCCTTCAGTTTCAGGCAGGTTCTGTTCTGCCCTTATCACTGATTTTGTTGAAGAAAAGACATAAGCATAATAAGAAAGACAAAGCTTTTTTGCTAGTTGAGTTAAGGATAGCTATACAGAAAGATTCCTACTATTGCTTTCATGTACCCATGTGTTATGACCCATGTTGATTCAACTCTAACTGATCTTTGCATTGGTTCCTGATCCCCTGCTCATGATAACCTGTCGTTTTAAGGTTTCTGTATTAGTTCCTCTGGAGTGGGGACATCAAACACTTTCATGTTTTGGGTTTTCTGCCTATTCCTATATCACCTGTATGTGTTCTCCCCTTTTCATGTGATCCAAGTCTAACCACATTGCTGCATTTGCCCTAGATCTGAAGTCTGCATATGAGGAGAACATACAATTTTTGGTCTGAGCCTGGCTGACCTCGCTCAGAATGATGTTCTCCAGTTACATCCATTTACCTGCAAATGATAAGATTTCATTTTTCTTCATGGCTGAGTAAAATTCCATTGTGTACAAGTACCACATTTTCTTGATCCATTCATCAGTAGTGGGGCATCTTGGTTGTTTCCATAACTTGGCTATTGTGAATAGCGCTGCAATAAACATGGGTGTGCAGATGCCTCTGGAGTAACCTGTGTTGCATTCCTTTGGGTATATCCCCAGGAGTGGGATTGCTGGATCATATGGCAGGTCTATGTTTAGATTTTTAAGAAGTCTCCAAATTTTTTTCCAGAGTGGTTGCACCAGCTTGCATTCCCCCAGCAGTGGATTAGGGTTCCTTTTTTCCCACATCCTCACCCAACACTTGTCGGTGGTGTTTTGGATGATGGCTATTCTAACGGGTGAGGTAGAATCTTAGTGTGGTTTTGATTTTCATTTCTTTTATGGACAGAGATGGTGAGCATTTTTTCATGTGTTTTTTGGCCATTTGAATTTCTTCTTTTGAGAAAGTTCTGTTTAGTTCACTTGCCCATTTCTTTATTGGTTCATTGATTTGGGGAGAGTTTAGTTTCTTAAGTTCCCTATATATTCTGGTTATCAGTCCTTTGTCTGATGTATAGCTGGCAGATATTTTCTCCCACTCTGTGGGTGGTCTTTTCAGTTTTGAGACCATTTCTTTTGTTGTGCAGAAGCATTTTAATTTTATGAAGTCCCATTTGTCCATCCTTTCTCTTAGTTGCTGGGCTGCTGGGGTTCTATTGAGGAAGTCTTTGCCTATACCTATTAGTTCCAGAGTGTTTCCTGCTCCTTCCTGTAGTAACTTCAGAGTTTCAGGTCTGATATTTAGGTCCTTGATCAATTTTGAGTTTATACTAGTACAAGGTGATAGACATGGATCTAGTTTCAGTTTCTTGCAGATGAGTAACCACTTTTCCCGGCAACATTTGTTGAAGAGGCTTTTCTTCAGCGTATATTTTTGGCACCTTTGTCAAAAATAAGGTGGGTATAGTTGTGTGGATTCATATCTGGGTCCTCTGTTCTGTTCCACTGGTCTTCATGTCTGTTTTTGTGCCAGTACCATGCTGTTTTTCTTGCTATTGTTTTGTAATATAGTTTGAAATCAGGTATTGTGATACCTCCAGCATTGCTCTTTTTGCTGAGTATTGCCTTGGCTATTTGCAATCTCTTGTGTTTCCAAATGAACTTTAGGGAAGATTTTTCAATCTCTATGATGAAAGTCATTGGGATTTTGATGGGAACTGCATTAAACATGTAGATTGCTTTTGGTAGTATAGCCATTTTTACTATGTTGCTTCTACCGATCCATGAGCACAGGAGATCTTTCCACCTTCTGTAGTCTTCCACCACGACCAAGTTGGCTTCATCCCAGGGATGCAGGGGTGGTTCAACATATGCAAATCTATAAATGTAATACAGCACATCAATAGAAGCAAAGACAAAAACCACTTGATCATCTCAATAGATGCAGAAAAAGCCTTCAACAAGATCCAACACCACTTCATGATAAAAGTTCTAAGAAAACTAGGAATAGAAGGAATGTACCTCAACGTTATAAAGGCTATATATGACAAACCTACAGCCAACATCAGACTTAATGGTAAAAACCTGAAACCATTCCCCCTAAAATCAGGAACGAGACAAGGGTGCCCACTAACCTCACTCCTATTCAACATAGTACTGAAATTTCTAGCCAGAGCAATTA